GCCCTCAGCCCTTCCAGTCTCGTGTACTCCTGGTCGAAGTCGGTGCGCTTGATCCAAGCAAGGAGGATGGCCATGAGGATTGGTGCCCTGTGCACTCCGGCCTGACAGTGGACCAGACCGTTAGACCCGGCAGTAAGGGTAGTGAAGGCCGCTTGTTTGATATCCTGCAAGGCCTGATCACGTTTCGCGCCCTGGTACGACACAGGGCACGACAATTGAAAGCAATCCCGCTGTGCCACTCCGCCAGGACACTCAGCGGCGGTTTTCTCCATAGCAGAGGCGATGAACCCAATATCGTTGCCGCGCACCCACCGAGGGTCTTTCGGCAGACCAGCAAGGTAGAGCGACCCGTGGCCGTCGGCACCCTAAAAGACCAATGTAGGAGGCTCTGGTCGTCCACTGTGTCCAGGTTGTGCCCAACGTTCACGAGCGGCGATATCGAACATCGCATCGGAGACCTCGTTGAGCGGTCCCGCCGGCGGCGGAGGTCGAGCCTTGGCAGCCGGTGGCTGCGGCTTCTTCTTGACAGCCACCGCCGGAGTCCCCGGGCCCCTGGCAGCGTCGTCTCTACAGGGGAGGCTCGTCCTGCTTGGGCGCCAGGCGCGGAGACACCGTAGGCTTCGGCTGCGATGGAGAGGAAGAAAGTCCCGTCAAGGCTGTAGCAGCTGCCCGCTTGCGCAAAGCCCGAATAATCTTCTGTCCAGCTGTACGGATAACCGCCAAGGATGCCGGCAACAACGATTTCACCATAATACCATAGGCATTCCAGGGATGTCTTCAGACGAGACGCGAACGACCCTGGGGTTCTCGGACAGCAACTCGTCCGTGGCTACCATAGCTTCGGACCATCGCTCCACAGCGGATGTAGTCTTGATTTCTTCCCAAAGAAGCTCGGGTGCACTGGCCAAGAACAAAGCAGCAGCAAGCCGGAGTTGGTGGCCTTGCTTTTGTTTCCGAGCATCGTACCGCAATGGAGTCTGTGCGGTAGAACTACCACTCGCAGCGTCCGTCCGTTTGGCCAATAATAGCAAGGCGCTCGGTATCGGTGAGCCGCACAATCCCTGCTAAGGTGGGCACCACCCGCCTGAAGCTATACGAGCTGAGGTTCTGCACATCCAAGACGCCATCGAAATAGGGTCGAACCACTCGAAGGAATTGCCCAATGGACACGGGGACACCTGTGTCAGAGTCGAAGGCCAAAAAGTGCCAACGACGATACCCCTCGCCGTGTCTTGGACGGACCTTGTCCAACTGGCGGTTCCAAATGGCATAAAGGTCGAGGCTGCCCAGCTGCCGAGGAATCGACCAGGTGAACCCATCCCGGGTCCCGGTCTTGCCTTTGAAGCACCAGAAGATGAGGATGGCGGAGTTCGCACCAATAAGGTAAGTTCGTTGCACGTGGCAAAACCGAATGAGCCCAAACACCATGGCCGCAGCAGCCATCAGGATAGGCCAGTGAGCGGTGTACTCCAGGACCCCCAACAAGTGGGTCACCATGCCCGGCTCAAGCGGGGCTGCCCTGTCCCAGCCGAGTGCTCCGGACCGGAGCCGGCTTGGAAGCTTCACTCAAATCCAGTGGTACACGAAGGTTTCGAATCATCCAGCCCAGGGATGTAAACACACGTGTAGGACCATGGTGCTCCCTGACGAAGGTGGCCAACGCATGGGGGTCGGGGAACTTCAACCCCAAATGGTCCATATAGCGCACCAAGTCCTTCCAGGTATGGACTACGCGCTTGATGGTGGCCGCCTCAGTGCGGGCGCATAGCTTCTCCAAGCGGGAAGCCCAATTGGCCATGTATTCATCTCGTCGAGCAGGTGGCGGAGGCATCAACGTCACCATGATGCCCAACAGGTCACGAATACACAAGGCGGCGACTCCGCCCTTCGCATCAGCCGACTGGGCTGGCTGCTTTTTGGGCTTGACAGGCCCAGCAAATGAAGACGGCTTTGGACGGGCCACCGAAGACGAAGGCAATGAAGGAGCCGGGATACTGGATGGTTGTGGCGGGCGAGACTGGCGAACTGTCTCTCTCGCAAAAAGGTGCCGAACCAGGGCTGCCATCCCCGGTTCGCTCTCACGGCGAGCGAGATCCCACCCATCTGCCACTGCGCGACCGGCTTCACGAAGTGCTTCCTCGTAGGAGGTAAACCAAAAAGCCAAGTCGCTTGCACTCTGAATCCCCATCCTGGCACACCAGGTATTCAGTTTCTCCTGCTCAACCGCGCGTCGAGCATTTGCGTCAGCCATGGCTCGCACACAAAAAGAATCTTGCGAATCAGCGACCCTGATTCACACGGAGCGACACTCCTTTTTGGCTTGAGCCTCAAGCTGAAAGGAGTGAGTGAACTGAATGACATCAAATAATTCCTCATCACCGACCCTGCCTACCTTGAATGAATGAATATATATTATTGATATGGTTTGACCAACATCTCTGATCCATTGGAACAGGATGATTAAGTGATTGAGGCACTTTACCTACGAGGCAGGTTGAGCAGATCCTCGCACAAACGTTGGACGCTTGAGACACCTAGACACCCAAAACAGGTCGCGTGGTTTGGGTTTGTGAGTAGGTGTGGCTCACAGATATCGAAAACAGTATGTAAGGATCTGGTGTCATACCAGCACCTTCATGTCGGGGTCACCTGGCTGGAAGCCCCTACACCACTAAGGGACCTCCAATGGACACCCCTTGAAGGTCCAGGTATACATGTCATCATTCTTTGTGTCTGTCTATTTTGGAGCCGTTCCCGTGCCGTTCCCGGCGCCAGTTTGCTGCCGGCCATCTGAGCGGGCCGACACTCCAATGGGAGGCCGATCGATTTGACCTGGCGGACGTGGCGAACCGGCGAGTTGCTGGTCGTTGACGGCGGCGTATGGGTGGGTGGGAGCAGTGAGATGGTTTTGGTGTTGGCGCCGTCCCTGCTGCAAGTCTTCTGAATTGCCACTGGGAGTCATGACCCTCCCTGAAACAATCATGGAAGTGGAACATGGCCCCTGGAAAACAAGTTTCCTCTACAACAAAAAGTGATTGTCCACTTCATTCCACTTCCATGCTTGTTGGAGGGGGGGGTAATTAAGGCTGGGCCCTGGTTCTTTTTGTGCAAGCTTTGGAGGATCTGGACGAGCTTTTTTTTCTGCGATAGTGCAGCACTGTCAGAGTGAATAGCCTTTTTCTGATGCCTCCAGAGCCTCCGGAGTTCATCAACAGGATTGGCGCGTCAAAGTCAAAATCTTGTTGTCCAAGCGGTGCCTGTTTCTCTCAGTGAGCCCTCAGCGAGTGTCTAATAGCCTCCAACCTAATTGCCATGGCCTCCATCCTGGTAGCGATGGCCTCCAACCTACAAGTTGTAGGCCTCCAACCTAGTAGCGGTGGCCTTCAACCTGTGAAAAAGGAATGGAGGGGTCCCTCAGTGAATGGGACTGATCCCCTCAGTGAGTGGGACTCAGTCAGCACGCTGACGATCGGTGAACGAAGGCCAAACCGAACAATCTCCCACAGGAGCGTGTGTTGCAACTGTTTGTGGTTGGTGGGAGGAGTCCTGTCCATACATGGAAAGAACTTGTGGACGAAAGCCTGTACCTGTGGACGATCATGAGTTAATCGTACCAAAACCTCAGGCAAAAATGGAACCAAATCAATCTACTATACTGCTACTACTGCTACTCCCTTCTTTTGAGCCAGAACCCCTATCAAGTTGACCCACAAGTCCTTATGGCAACAAGCAACACGGACATAACAAAAACAAGAAACCATTCACCTACTACAGTTACTACAGCAGCACCTACTACAGTTACTGCTACTGCTACTGCTACAGCAGCAGCAGCAGCACCAGCAGCAGCAGCAGCAGCAGCAGCAGGCATTCAAACAAGAACAACTTCAACTGATGTCGTCTGCTAAATGCGAAAAAACACTTCGCAGCAAACACAAGAACAACAACAAACACAAGAACAACAACAACAACAACAACAACAACAACGACGACAACAACAACAACACTTACGCAGCCACGCAAGCTCGAGGATCATCATTGACAAGTCAATGCCCTTTCTCAACCATCCATCTTCCCCAACACTTCCCTGGACCATGGCTGCCCTTAGTCGAAACAACATGGAAAAACAACAACAACAACAACAACAACAACCCGCAGGCACCTTGCAAAGGGCCACCGCTGGTGAGGTTGCCGGCATAGACCGTGTACTCTTGCATGGTGGAGCAGCAGGATGGACAGCTAATGGGATCGTAACCTCACGGGATCGCACCCGGAAAGACGCAAGACGTGTGCATTGGACGAGTCGTCCATTCGGAGTGGTACCCAAGGTCTGGTACAGGTTGAAACTTATTGAAAAAGATTGAAAGCACCAAGCAGCGAACATGCGATGGCCGCCTGCACCTGCGGATGCCCGGCTTCTTATTTGGGTCAGTGTACCTGTGCTAAGTTTCGTTCTAGTCATTGCGCAAAGGTGGTGAAAACGATGAACTATTAACTCCCGTACGGATAGGGCAAACAATTAGCCCAGCACATACATCTTATATGATTATGATCATCTAATTATGTCGTATATGTAACCCTAATATTCCATAAAATTGAGTAAAAAAAAACAATTTTGCCCAAGAGAGATTGAAAGGGTTCAAGCTCAACCTCTGCCGAGACCTCCACGAGAGGTGTCACCCATCGTGCTTCGTTGCAGCTGGCCGGACCTCCGAAAGATCCAACACGACCGGGGGCGACCCTCTCCAAACCCCCAGAAATTCAGGATGCTTTGCCTTGCCTTCGATTGAATCTGCTCTTCCAGCTTGCAGCTTGCATCCCCTTCCCCTTCCCATGGCCGAGTGATGAACCCTTGGGCCTTGGGGCGCATCTGAGCGCATGCTTCATGCTTCACCCCGTGGTAGTCAAAAGAATTACTACTGTATAAAGTTTGCCTACACTTTCCTTTTTGGATCTTTTTGGCCTCTGTGAGGTACAGGCAGTACCTAATAAAAGTATATGTGTTAAACACAAATCTTTAGTCTGTCACTCGCAGGATGTGACTCGCAAGTCTGACTGGCACAGTGATCCTCCGCTCCTTCCCGGCCAAGTTCGTCCCCCAAAGGCCGGAACCGCTCCGCTTTTTTGCAGTGCTGCACGGACGAATGGCGCCAGTACTCGTCCAGTCCCCTCCGGTGATCTAGTTCGTAGCCGTGCCGCGTGAGCAGCCGCCCGGTACGCGAGGTGTTCCAACTTTGCTGCTCCTCGTCGTTGGAGATCTCAACAGCCAGGGTGGCGATGAAGATGTCCATTTCGGACGTGGCATCCGGTTTTGCCCCATGTTTCGTGAGTTCTTCATCTCGCTTTTCGAAAAAGGCCTCCAAGACGTCCTCCGAGTTGCCCTCGATGTCCATGCTCAAGAAATCTACCGTGAAGCCTTCCGAGGAGTTGGCGAAGCGCCGCAGAAGGTCCCACAATGAGATCGTGGATACGGTGGCGGTGGTGAAGGTCCAAGCCTCACCCAGCGAAGCGGCCATGTCCTGAGGAAGAGAGACACAGCTGCATCAACATACAGCTCCTTCCAACCATCACGTGCAAAACAAACAGAACAAAACCCTAAGGATTCGGATCCAGTCGTACCCTCTGAGAAGGTGGGACTGGGGTGGGTGCCAGGAGGGTCCAAGTACCTTTTGAGGAGGTACTTGGATCCCTAGGGAAAACTAGTCAATGGGAAAGCAAACAATATGATTGCGATTGTTTCCCATCTATTATCATCTGTGCACTCTTCTTCTCTTCTCCTTTAGCCTTACTCTTTCCACTTCCAAGTCTCTGAGTTTTTGCTCGAGGACGGAAATGTCACATCCCCATCTTCAATCATGAATCATAAAATCATATTAATTAATACATAATTAATACTATATATTCCTGTCCAATGTCGGAACACTCCACAACTTCCTCTTGTGGGACCTTCCCCGCCCCCCAAAAAATCACCCGTCTTGCAAACAAATATAGTAAAAGCACACACACACCTCTCCTCGGAGCGCCTCTGGTTCTCCAAGGCATCATCGCCCTCCACCCAGCCATGCCCATGCGGCACCGTCGCTGTTGCCGCGGTGCGCGTGGGCCGGCGGAAGGTGCGCCGCTCGTCGCTGGCGCGCCACACGGCGCGACGGAGCCGCTGGCAGCGCCGGAGCAAGTCGAAGGTCTCGGGGTCCTCGAAGAAGACGTCGACGCAAAGACCCGTCCTTTGAAGATCCGAAGAAGAGGGGAGTCCTTTAGAAGATTTAGATGTCAAGGTGGAGTGGGAAAAGAACATGATCCTCCCCAGGTCAAGGGGATGGACCCGAACATGAACCTCATCCGAGGAAAAGCCATGGTTTGAAGTGGGTCACTATATATAGGGTAGACTGGGAAAGGGCCGTTTTCAGTTGGCTGGACAAAAAGCAGATCGAACTACCGAGTTGCCTTGGAAAACAATGGAAAACATCAAAGGTTCACCGTGTTCCACCTGCTGGATCCTGTTGGTTTCTGAGATGTTTCTGAGATGTGTGTCCTCAATCCCCCAGTGAGGGGTTTTGAAAGTGATCCATGTTTCCTGGGATTGGCCCCGGGTAGGTGTCAGCACATATTCAAAGGCCAGCCTCAGGGGGTAAGAATTTACATCCAAGCATCCATCCCAGAAATGCATCCATGGTGTAGGTGTTGCTAATTCTCCAGCTGTGAGCTGCACCAATGTCCACATACACACCGCCTGTCTTGCAACAAAACACTTCCTCCAAGGCCCAGCGATCTGCTCCATTTTGCCCTGGAAAGGCCACCTGGCCACAAGGCCCTTCGCGCTCTTCGCTGAGATAAGCTGTGATGTTCACCATGGGATCCCTTAAGTCGTCCATGGGAGCATCTCGCCCCTGCAGCCGCAGCTGCGCTCGGTGCAGGAACTGCCAGGCGCCCGTGACGCCGCACGCGGAGGCCCCAGGACCCGTGGTGTCCGTGTGGCGGAAGGCACCTTCGGCCTGCTGCACATGCTCCCAGAACGCTGACCCCACGCGCCCATCCAGTGGCGCCTGGCGCAGCGCCTGCGCCGCGTGCAGCTCCAACAGCAGGAGCTCGGCACCCAGCCTCCACGGCTTTGGTAGGAGCTCCTCCAGCGGCCGCAGCCGGGAGGCCGGCGCAGCGAGCTGCGCCTCTAAGGCTAGGAGAAAGCGCCCAGCTCGTGCCAAATGTGGTGACAAGATCTGCGCATCAGCTCCGTCGCCCTCCACTACCAGAGTCTCAGAATCTGTGTTGGCATTCTCTTTGGACTTCATGTATTTCATGAGGCTGTCTTGGATCAAGTACTGCATACCAAAGACTGGGTAAGGCTCCTGAAGAAGCGTGGAGAAAGACGGGCTAGGGCGATGCTGCCACCCGCAGCCCTGTAGCGCCACGCAAAGGCAGAAACGTCGCCCCGGCGCCAAGATCTTCAGGCCACGGATCCGCTCGCCTCTGACTTCATGCCAACCGCTGGTGTTCAAGGCGCCATTCCGCATCCATTTCCATCGATCGCCCGTGTGAAATTGAATCTTCACGCCCTCATGAACACCTCCTGGTCGATCAATCCACAAGGAAGTCACTAAGTGATCATCCAAGAGACGTAGTTCTAAGACGCGCGTCGCACAGAAGGAAACGCCTTCCACACAGGGCCTTGACCTTCTTGACCTTGACCCTTTTGAGTCCACAGCCTTTGGGCCTCGCAACTGTATCTCGTTCTTGCAGCGTCCACTGAGGACCTCCTCTCGCAGAAAGTCAAAGGACCCCCTGGAGCTCCAGCCAAACAAATCCAGTGGGCAATGTGGAATCACATAGCCTGTGGCTATATGGAAGGCCTGCCTGCAAAAGAGCAAGGCTGCACCAGACAGGCAGTGTTGTTCATCGTTTGGCATGTCGCCGAGCTTCGATTGAATCACTTGACACGTCTTGGCGGCCTTTTCATTCATCTGCATGAGCGCCTGTGTGTGCATCGGAAGACTTGCCAGTTCGAACATGGGCGCCATGCGCATGGCCACTTCTCGCAACTCGTCACAAGCATCTTCGCACACTGCCACAATGAAGAAGACAAGAAGGCGTCCCAGCATGTAGTGCCACATGGCAATGATCATGGCTACTAGCCGCTAGACTCAGCTAGACTCCCTGATTCATGTAAGTCTTTGCACATGCGAACCCTACACATCCCTACATCTCACTCCCTCTCTCTTAGAAACGAATCACACCATGCAAAAATTGACCAGAAACTTGAGGGGAGGAGTTTGCTACCTGACTAAGCTGACTCCACTACTTCATGACCCCTTTCCCTGGGAACTATAGTTCGGTGTTCACAAAAAAATATCCAGCTGATTGGGAGAACCTTTCAGGTGTCAGTCCCACAGTTCGGTGACCTGCAGGTGATTCATGTGGCGGTCCATGCGCTTCGAAGCCGTCGACACCGAGCCGACCAGCTCGAGCCATCGAGCCATCGCAAGAGTTCGGCACCATTGCTTAGATGGAGTTCTCAACTTCGGAAAATGCATGCAAACATATTAATTGTAAATTATACATATGATTAATAGGTTCATATCAGGATTTTATCGTATGATTCATGTATGTTCAATGAATAAGGATCTATAGGGTGCTTTGGAGGGTCCAGGAAGCTGTGACAGGCCTCTCTCGTTGCGCGTTTGGTTTCAACCAAAACACACACTCCGTCTGTCGATCCTCTGCCAAGGGGCTCCCGCACCAGCACACTTTGAAGTCCCCGTGTCGGCCCATAATCATTCCACCAAAGCGAGACACCGTATCCTGGTCGACATGGGTCCGGTCGAAGCTGACTGATCGGGAGTGGTCGGATGGGGGCTAATGGAGTATACTGTATACTATGGCCATGGCAATTGGAAGACCTCATGTTTACCCAGGGTTTGGGAAGTCATTAGGCATCCATGCAAAACAAAGTTGGACCTATCTACTCCCCATTGGCTGGAGAGAGGGCACTGTGCCTTTTTCACTCGCCCGCAGCTCGAATGAAAAAAAGGTATGGTCCGGTATGGTCAATCTCTTTCCCCGTGGTGTTGGATACCCAGCATTCATATGGTTCAATGGATGCTGGGATCCAAAACCACGGGGACAACCCGGGAACAATGGACACCAAATTCCACACCCTGATGCCCTAAGGCAACTCTTCCGACTGTCTCACTCACTTCGTCCGACTTCTTCTGTCTCCACTGGGTTGCCCGGGCATCGCCACTGGTTCTTGGCCCACTGGATCCACCACCTTGATTCACTGCACTGCTCTGGGGCGCCATGCCACACCTGGGAGAACACCCGTCCGCACGGTGAGGTGCAGTGGTACATATATTGGTAGCACAGGTGGTAGTAGGAGTAGGAGTGGGAGTGAGAGGGGAGTAGGAGTAGGAGTTGTGGTAGGAGTATAGGAGTATAGGAGTAGGAGTAGTAGTAGAAGTAGTAGTAGTAGTAGTAGTTGTTGTTGTTGTTGTAATTGTAGTTGTTGTAGTAGTTGTTGTAGTAGCAGTAGTAGTAGTAGTTGTTGTTGTTGTGGCGAGTAGGAGTAGGAGTCGGAGACGTGGTCGTCGTCGCTGTCTTCGTCGTCGTAGCAGCAGCAGCAGTAGTAGCAGTAGTAGAGGCAGGAGCAATAGTACAAGTAGAGGTCAGGGTGGTGGTGGGGTTGGTATCTGGCCGTGTTCCAAGGCCAGCTTCAGAAAAAAGACGCGGCGTCAAAGAAACAAGAGAAACTTTCTTGTGGTTGTTGCAGTTGTTGTCTATGTTTGGACACTTGTTCGACTTGTTCGGACTTATAATGTTCTTTGGCTGCACCCGCTTCAGCTGCAAAATGCTGCAAAGGCCAACGCACATCAAACATCTATAGCGTTCAGAGCTCAAAGCAGGTGCTGCGACAGGCCTCCACAGTACGGAACAGGACAGAATTCAATAAGCACTCCACTTCACGTTGGGTATGCGGTTTCCGGTGGGATGGTTCAGGAACGGGTAGCGGGTAGCTCAGCAGTTGGCTCAAGCTGTCGAGCGCTGTTGCCCTATAAGAATCCTTGGCCCAGTCACCTTCGCAGGAACCTAACCTCTCAGGTGCGGTGGTGCCCACTGCGATCCAGCGCTCGCGGTTGAGGTCCGGTGGTGCCCACTGCGATCCAGCGCTCGCGGTTGAGGTGCGGTGGCCACCAGGAGCTGGCACTGGTTGGGAGGAGGCGAAGAGAGGAAGAGGAGAAGGAGATGACAGCTCTGACGACAGAATCTAAAAACCCTCACCCGGCAGACGGGGAAAAGAGATGTTTGGGCTCCAACACATGCAGGGGTCGCTCAGGTGCACCCGCCAGGAGCTCACGCTGTACCCGGGAAAATGGGACTAAGACAAAACACATGTATAATGAAACATATGAAACAAATTCCTGCAAACACTCTCCAAGGTACGAACTGAGACTCCAGGCGGATTCTCTTATTTCATATCTTCTCAATGTCCCACATGCCCTGGTGGATTGGTAATTATACGTAGTGACCATCCTGGGTGCCCCTGGGTCCTGCAGAAAAGAAGGCTTGTGTAATGTTCAACCGGAAGACCTCCCAGTTCAACCCCCTGGAAGAAGGAACATAGACCACCCATGGACCAGCCTTGGGCCCAGCCCAGGGGGTCTCCCTCTTCAACGATCACCGCAACGCCGGGAAGCCCAGACTCCAAATGACCCGCGATGACATAGATCCAATCATTGTCGCTCAGGCCTCAGGAAGAGGCTCAGAGGGTGCGAGCCGCAAATAGCGGTCGAAGCCTCCATGGTTTGCGGCTTGGGGAACCTCGAAGCCTATGTGTTGGTTTGGGTCCAGATCCTTGAAGTCCCAAAAAATCTGGCGCAAGAGGCAAAAAGAGACACAAAGAGAGAGAGAGAGAGTGAGAGGGAGAGAGAGAAAAATAAAAGAACGGTCTCTGAAGTGCTGCAGTGCCAGAGCGCTGTGTGCAGTGCTACATCTGCCCTGATCCACGGTGCTACGCCGCGACGCCCGCGACGCCACTCGCCTGAGCCCTCGATTGGCAAAGTGCACGCTACCTCGCCAACGCAAACGAAGGATGGTGCCAGGGGAGCCAAGGGCATCTGAACATGGCCAGGGCTGGTTGACCTGGGATCAGGTAGAAAGGCAATTCTTCCAGTCCCATGGTCAACAGAACGCAATTATTCAAGATCAAGGTTGGGAGGATTTTTGGAGACACTTCAGTAGAAAGCCAGCGAAATCTGGACTTTGGATGAGTCCAGCTTTGGTATCCGTCTACTGTCCAGATTGAGGCCAAGCTCTTTCTTCCAACATATATGCTATACGTACAACCAATCAGTCTTGCAGGCAAAAGTTTCTATTCCAGAAGGTCATGATGATGTTCTTGAGAGGCAATGGCGGGAATACATCACCCGGGTGCTGGCTCACAACGTCATGGGCTCACACCATCAAATATCTCCAGGAGAAAGAGCGACCAAGAGCCCTGTTCAAGTTCCTTCCCAAACGCTCAGTTCGCCATTCTCGCTTCTCGCGGCTCCGTTTCTGCGGCTGCCCGACCCCTGTGACGCACTCAAAGACCTGCCCAAGAGCTGCGCAGAACGGCGGAGGATGTCGGACCCATCGATTTGGGAGAACTGGGGACACGGCCCCGCCGGACCCCAAACGCGACCCAATCGGGCATAGGGCTGGCAAATCACAAGACCTTTTCAGATCCGTTCAGTGATTCTTCAGTAGCTCGGATCACATAGATGTGGAACTCACCTGATCAACGTGCGAGTAGCCTGAGCAGCGCAACACGAGCAGACTGAGCCGTTCAGGACAGGCATGGCTAACGCAGATGCCGATGGCAATGGGTTGATCTCCAAAGAAGAGATGCCCAACTTGCTCTAGGTTGGGGCTTTGAACATGCACTTCAGGGCTTGAACACTCAACTGATTGGCTGGGTGCGGATGAAAATTGGGTTCAGAAATAGAAGGAGGAGTCTTGTCATGACAGGTGTCTGACAGGGCCTGCCCCAATGGTTTCTGTTTGGCTGTCAGACTGTCATATATTGTAATTAATTTGAATATGATGTTGCTCGCCTCAAACCCCGTCATTGATTTGAATCATCCCTGTGTTTGCACCAGCTGGATGTCACTACAACATTGCGTAAACTCACGGTGCTGCCACAGCTTCAGGTTTGGGTTACGATCCCTGGTGTCTGGGAAATTCGTCCAAATGTCACCAACACTGGAAGATTACATGGATGCTGGGTTAACTACCGCAACTCATCGGTAACTATGCCTCTTATTCCATGCATGGAGTGTCTGGGTTAAATAAGGCCCGTGACATAATTTCTATGTGTGTTTTTTGTAGACGCATCAATCTGTATATGTTTGCACATGTTGTAGATGCATTGAACATATTCCTACCTGTAACCTGAATGACCTCTATTTGGGCACCACCCCGCCTGGATGAGCCCTGCGGTGGGCCCGCCCACCGCTAGGGTGGCCACCTGCAAATCAGTCAATCATGTGGGTGTGTTTTGGGTGTATCCCACTATTGCCTGTAACAGTGGATGATGATGGGGCCTGGTGGCAGGTCACATAGTGATAAACTACTTGATAGCCTGTTACAGGTAATAGCACACACCCAAAAAGGTGTGGTAATAGTCAACATTTTGGTCTATTTTCCAACTATATACCAGTAAACAGATCCAGTGACGGTGGATGATGAAGGTTGGTTGTAGGTTTTTCTCCCCAAAAAACACGTGATAATTGTTTGCCGACTGTTACTGGTAGTGGGGCACACCATACATATCCCAGACGCTCCATGGGACTGCCATATATGCCTACATTGGGGTGGTGCCAGGGGGGGTCAATTGATCGGCATATATGGCAGTTTCATGGAGTGTTTGGGTATGGCAATGTTCATTCATGATATTTCCTAGCAAGGGCTTGGGGAACGGCTCCCTGTCGCTTCAAAGGGGTCCCTGTTGACCCTCGTCCGCGACCGATCGAACGGCTCCCTCCTGAGCACCAGCTACAGCTTCATAGACATGGAGCTATTAAGTGCAACACGTCTTTCTAAAGTACTATCTAAAGCATGAAAATATACCTCAAATATCTAAGTTTTATAGAAAATTACATTTCTGAGCATTGCCATCAAA